TGAATTTTTTACCATCATGTTTCTATGTCTCCAGTGCTGGGGTTACAGGCATGCACCATATCACGCCTGGTTAAAGGGGTAATGGTGATGGAACCCAGAACTTTGTGCATGCAAGACTCCATCAGCTGAAACTTATCCCTAGTCCTCTAAGTTTTTCAAATTGATACATACTATCAATTTCTTTTTTGAATTGTAAGTAATAAACACATATTTAACCTACTGAGTAAAATCTACAGACAGGTCTAGTAGATACTTAGAATAATGGTAGCAATGCTTATTAATGAATATTATTTTAAGGTAATCATGGATGTATGGTAGAAATTGCTGATTTCCACCTTCAGTGGTAAAAAGAAATTCAGATTCCTGGAACATGGATGGGATTTGTCTGCCTTCAGTTTTCCTTTCCTGTCTCATCCTTCCAGATTCTAAGCTTCATGGGCTGAACCCAGGCCTGTGGTTTTCCTTGCATCTCCCAAACCAAGATGTTCACGTCTCCTGTCCTGTCCGCCTTACCCAATGGTCAGCCCTGCTGGAGGCATCCACTGCCCCACATCCACAACATGTCAGGTTGTTTTCATCAGAGGACTTCCCCATCTCCACAGCCTCTGAGACATGGTGTAGGGTGCCCTGACAAGTCACGTTAGGGCAAGGAAGAAGGGTCTTTTTATGGTTCTGTCAAGTATTTAGGAATTAAGTGCCCCATGATGCAGTTTAAGATTTTGATGAGAAGTGGGCACAGTGGAACACACCTATAATCCTAACACTTAGGAGACTAAGACAGGAGGATTGCCATGAGTTCCAGGCCAACATGGGGTACAGAGTGAGATTCTATCCCAGCCCAAAGAGAAGGGACCGAGGAGACAGTTTGGTCAGTAAAGTGCTTGCCATGTAAGCATGAGGACTGGAATTCTGTCCCCAGCATGCTTGTTGAATGTGGATGCAGTGGAGTGTCCTGTAATTCTAGCATGGAGGAGGCAGAACAGGAGGGTTCCTGGGACTTGGTGAACAGCCAGTCTAGCTTAATCTGTGAAGCGCAAGTTCAGTGAGAGACCCTGTCTCCAAAACTAAAATGGAGAGTGACCGAGGAAGACATCTGATGTCAACATCTCTCCTCCATGTTTATATGCACACACACACACTCCACACATGCATGCACACACACATTCTACACATGCATGCACACACAACACATGCACATAAAAGAGCTCAGTGACACAGTTTAAACACACGACACTGAATTTTCAGCAGTGTAAGAATACTCAACTTTGAGAGGGAAAAAAGAAATTGTATACATAGTCCCTGAAAATTACCCAAGGGAATAGAGTCTTTGGGGACACCGTGTAACGTTGGGTGTGGATGAGAAGACTTCTGTATACTTGTATCTTTCTTTCCCCCACCCCCATCAAGAGGCAAAATTGTGAGTTTCCCAGAGAGCCAGTCTTTCTTTTGATTCGTACTCAAAAATTTTTTCTTCCATTTTCAGATTCTGTGGGTGTTCATGTGTGTGAAGCACGTTTCTGCATGTGTGAGGGAACACGTGTGTGCTGGTGTAGGTACTTATGGGTGTGACTATACGCCCAAGTTTGACTTTGGGAATCATCCCGCGCCCATGGTTCTTCCCCGTTATTCACCATGGCAGGGACTCAAGCAGTACAGCTCACCAGTACAGCTAGTCTTGACAGCCTGCTTGTTTGGGGTATTCCCTGCCTCTGCCTTCCTCCAGAGCTGGGGTTACAGGTAGATCTCTTTGCTCACCTGTTCATATGAATTTGGAGATCTGAACTCTGGTCCTTGTACTTGGCTGACAAACACTTTTAGTTGCTGAGTCATCTTTCCAACCCAAGGATCATACTTCAATCCTTTTGACATGATATCTTGTCTACTTATGTCTGCAGCCCAGTACTGAGGCTTCCTTGAGGACCAGGTGGGTTAAGGACATTGGAGCCTGCGAATTGTGCAGTGAAGGAAGGATGCCCTAAGAAGTTAGTGAACTGTGTCCGGGGGTGTAGGAGGGATAAGAAAGGCTAACCAGAATGACACTCCCCATTTGCCTCTTACTATTTCCCACCCTGACCAGGTGGCCTGGGGGCATGAAATTGTCCAATCTGACTTAAACACTCCCTCCCGCTCTCCTCCCAAATCAAACTTGCCCCAGGCGTTTGGACAAGATGACAAGATGCAGCTTGCACTCTGAAAAGAGCTGGAGAGAGTTACCGTAGCAACAGCAAGACTTCTTGAAGATTGTGGGCCATGGTGTTGACTTGGAGAGTCAGGAAGCCCTCCCCACCTGAGGACAGCAAGAATTTAAACAAAAACTAAAACTGCCCAGCAGGGCCAGCAGAGGAGGAAGTCAGGGCAGGAGCCTAATCAATATGGACCACAAGAACAACAGTGTCCAGGGTTACACCTGCGAAGGGGTGTACCATTTCCTGGATGGGATTGGTCAGTCTCCCATCAGACTTAGCCACAGGTGACTCCTATCACATTAGTGCCTTCACGGGAACAGCAAAAGCAAGACTCCTGGGGAGATCACCACAGATAGAGCCAGTCCTTGGCATACACTGTATCGATCCCAGCCAGAAGCTGTTATGAAGTTTAATAATCCGGGGCCCAACCTTACATCCTTCCTTGAACACTTTTGATGGGAGGGTTGGGAGTTAGGGTGGCCATCAGAATGTTCATCCACTTCCTCTATACTATGGAAAAAAACTCATAATCTTTTGGGATAGACTGTGTTCTTTCTAAGTAAAAATGTGGGGTGTGAACTGATTCCTCAGAAGGAACTGTGAGGCCTGGTCAAAGTGACCACTGATGTGTGGCTAGCCTGGGGAACCTTCCAGAACATCTCCTTCAGTGGGTTACCACCAATTCTCACTTCATAGGTTTGGAAGCACATTGTTATCACAGGCAGATATCACCATGTGACACTGTACCAGCATAAGCTCCCGAGGGTCAAAGGGGAATGATGGGAGCAGGCTGAGGTTTAAAGTGGACATCACTATGTATTCTATGTATAATCTCACAAAGGGCATTTAAACACTTCTCTAGTCCTCTTCTGTGAAACAGGGGCAGTAGAGAGGACCAACTTCAGACAGTGTGATGGAGATTAAATTCAATGCCATACATGCAAGGGCTTAGATAGTGCATGTCATAGTCAAAGACTTAATATTATTAAATCTACTGTACAGATTGTGCACTACATAACTCCAGAAGGTACCATCCCATAGATATATTCACATGCCCCAGAGTGATACGCTGCAGCCCACATGGCCTTACACGATAGCCCTGAAATGTCAATCTCCACTCTGTGGGACTATTACGACAATGACAGTGAATGCATGTGAGGTACCTCCTATACAGTAGGCACAGTGATTCATGGCTGCTGGTATTATTCATACTGCTGGAGCTATCTGGCAGCTTAATGACAATTCTTGTGCAAATGACTTCTTCCTGTTGGACCAGCTTACACAGAGAATAAACTTGATTAGAAGTCCGCTGAGGAATTTTAAGTAAATGAAAGGAAGTTGGATTCCATGTCAAGGTTATGCATAGTCCATCAGTGTGGAGGAACTTGAGTTCCAAGGACATCGCTCTTTGGAGTATAAGAATGCCAAAGACTCCGTCCACCCTGAACTTGGACCACAGAAACACGGACAATCTTGGTGGCGTTTGTGGTCTGGATGAGCCACCAGGCGCCTCTCTCTCCTCATTACCGCTCAGGCCGGCCACAGTTAACTAGCTAGCTGCGTCTCTCACATTAGGTAATCTTTAAATTGGTCTCCTCCTAATGAAATTCTCGCGGAGCCCCTCAGGCTCTTTGATGAGATCTGAAAGGCCCCTTGCTCTCATCAGCCACGATTTCTAGAAATAATTAACTTAAACAACATCACGGCCAAAGGAATCCACTGAGGCTGGTGCTGGAGTGGAGCCCCTCTCTCAGAATTCTGTCTTCATCGCTGACTGACACGGTCTGTGTGGGAACAGACCGTGTTCTTCTCCTTTCTTTGCCTTCTTCATAAGTGTTATTTCCATAAACAAAGCATCACTACTCATCATGTTTTAATGACAAGTTATTCCTCCCAAACAGCATCCATCCCAGCATGCTTAGCTAGTTTCTCCCGTGGGGTGTTTGAAGTTCAACTCTGTGAACAGACATGATGTGTACAACACTCAGAGGTAATGAGAGCATGGAGAAGGACATGAGGCAAACAAATGAAATAAACAGAAAGACATTAGAGATGGGGACCGTAGGGGACCACGGGATGCAATCTTTTGATTTTACAAATGTGAAGACGGAGGCCCTGGTGGGAAACACCACTTGCTCAAGGCAGCATAATTAATTGGCCTTCTGTATTGGGTGGGGATCAGCTTCCTCCGGCCTGTTAGGACGGCGGAGCAGAGTGTCTTCCACCAATGAGGAAGAGTCACTGCCATGCAGAAGCCTGCCTGGTGCCATCACAGCGGCACAGTCGGCCACATCTCAGGCTTACAGTATCACACCCAGGGCAAAGAAAGACATCTTGAGAGAGCCAAGCAAGTGACATTCATCCACTCCTACCCAGCTCTTGGAGGTGTGAAAAGACAGTCTAAAAGGGAGAAGCCGAAAGGCAGAAGCAGCTAGGAACTCCCACACAGGCTTACTTCACTGAAAACCAGAGCCAGGCACGGGGGCGACTAACCCAGGCAGGGGGAGTATGCCAAAGTCAGCAGCAGCAGCTGCCACAGAAGGCATCAGCCCCTGGCTTCCTGGCCCACCCAGTCAGCAAGACCAACACCCAACGGACCACGGTGCCAGGCAGACTTTGAAAGCCGCTTCTCTCGTATCTTTCTTTGACGGATGTGGGCACCAAGGCCAAGGCAGGGGAGGGATGTGGTTTTCGTCCTTGGATGCTAATATTGATTGTCAGCTTGGCAAGATCCGTGGTCATCTAGGAGACAAACCTCTGGGCACGCCTGTGAGGCAGTTTCTAGTTTAGGTTAATAAAGATGAGAAGACCTACCTTACAAGTGGGTATCACCATCTCACGGGCTGGTGTCGGAGAATGACCGTGGATACAATGTGACGAGCTGTGTCCGCTGCTCCCACTATGGCTTCCCACGGGTGGACTATATCGGTGAATTGTGAGCCAAGCTAAACCCTCCCTCCCGGCTCCCTCCATTCCCCCCCCCCTCTTTTCCACCCTCCCTCCCCTCCTCCTCGTCCCCCTCCCTCCCTTCCTCCCCCTCCCCCTCCCTCCCTTCTGTTGTTTTTGTCAGGTGTTTTACAGCAGCAAGAACAAAAAGCTAGCAGACCTCACCTGTAAATAGGGCTGATATTAGACATCATCACACCCGAGAGAGGACCGCCACACCACCTGCCCAGCTGTCCTGACAGGATAGTGTCGGGGAAGAGTGCCATCCCAGCACTGGGGCCGATGAGGCAGGAGACACAGAAGTACTACACCATCGAGTTCGAGGCCAGTGTGGTCTGCAACAAAGCCTTGTACACTTGGTGACTGTCACACTCTTGTAAGACTGGGTCAATTTCCAGCATTTTGTTCTTTATGGGTTTTTTTTTTGTCCCCCACTATCTTCAAGAGTTCCTTTACTGTGTGACTTCTGCTGGCATCACTTCTTCTGGGACATCTTCATCTTCTTTTGGTCATAACTGTCCCTTGTCCATGTCACCAACTCTTCCTTCACTAAATTCCCCTTTCTGTGCATCCAGAATCTCTCCAGTGGTGGCCACGGCTGTGTTCACACCTCCAGCAGCACCCCCCAGCATCCCATCTGAGGTGTACCTCCAGCAGCACACACCCCCCAGCGTCAAACCTGATGTGCGTCTCCAGCAGCACCCCACCCCCACCCCACCCACCCCCACCCCCCAGCGTCCAGTCTGAGGTGTCTCCAGCAGCACCCCCTTGTATCTCTTCACTCCACTTTTCATCTCGGCTGGCAAGTTCCCCCCTTAGATTATTAATTTCCATAAAACACCAGGTGGGGTTGTCACAAGATACCCAGCCATACGGCTGCTGTGTGTGAACTGAGTGGCCAGCCACCGGCAGTCTGTGACTGAGGAACCAGTAGTAAAGTCTGCTTCAAGCCAGGCTCACAGTCGGTACACCATGCCAACTAATCACAGCGGTAGACGAAGGGTTTGACAAACCATGACGAGGAAGGCATGCCCATGGGGAGTGAGCGAGGCCAGGACTGCTCTCCATCCCGTGCATGGATCCCCAAAGCGGACCTACGCTGTCTTCACATTTTTAGGTTTATTTTAAGTATGTGTATGTGCATGAGAGTAAAGGTTCCCAAGGAGACCAGAAGAGGGCTGGAGCTGGAGTCGCAGGGATTGTGAGCTGCCTGACTTGGGTGTTGGGAACTGAATGGGGGTCCTCTCTAAGAACAGCATGTGCTCATAACTGCTGAGCCGTCTCTCCGGCACCGGGAATGATTTTGAAGGTTTTTCAATTTGATGTAGTTGCTAATCATACGGAACAAATATTTGATCTTCCAGTACTGCTTTTCTTTCATTGCCCTTTTGTCCGCAGATGCTCTGCACGGGCCAGGAGCAACATGAAGTCGGAGCATGACTCTCGAATCTCTGAAACTCCTCCCAGGGACGGGGTCTCATCACCCAACTTTTCCTGAGGTCACCCAAGAACCCAAAAGAGGTGCTGCACCCCGTGCTGCTGAAAGAAGGACGGATGTGAGTCACTGCAATGGTTACGTTCAGATTCGTTTTCTTTCTAATTACGTGCCTCTGTGTAGATATGTGCACATGACTACACATGTCCTCGGAGACCAGAAGAGGCTTCAGATGCCCTGGAGCTGGGATTGCAGGCAGCTGTGAGCCACCTGAGGTGGGTGCTGCCAACTAAACTCGAGTCCTCTGGAAGAGCGGCAAGCCCTACTAATTGCTGGACTGTCTAGCCTGGTCAGAAATAATTTTGACTGCCCCATTTGCTGGGGAGGGCGGGGGAAGAAAGAAAAAAGGAAAGAAAAAGTGCAGGGACCACCTGAAGGAGCATCGGGGCAGAAGTCCCATCCTGCCCCCCGTGGCGTCTGACGTTGCTCAGGCTAGCCCCACGCTGCAGCTCCAGGCCTCTCCTTTCCCCCGCCCCGCAGCCTCCGTTCACTGCCCTTCAGCGTTAAATTGATTTTAATAGCATTCAATTTTCTCAAGTGCTGGAGAGACAGACAGGCTACAAAGGGAGTGGTATTGCCACCTCTCTTTTCTCCTGGATTCCCAGATGGACATTAAAAAGTCATTTCATGTGACACTCAGCCCCTGGCCCCAGGAGAGATAACAGGAAACAGCACCAGCCCAGAGCTGGCTGGTAAAACTGTCAGTTGCCCAGTTCGTCTTTTTAGTGAATGATGGGACAAAAGGCCCGTTTCCCACTTTGGAATGTCTGTGGATGTGTGTGTGTGTGTGTGTGTGTGTGTGTGTGTGTGTGTGTGTGTGTGTGTGTGTCCATGAATGCTGCCAATGCCTGGATTAAAGTCTCGGCGCCCAATCCAGTAGTTTTTGGTTAATGTAGGAATTCCTTCTGGTGACAACCGCCTTCCTGTGTGATTCTAGATTGTGCCAATTAGCTAACCACAGCAGGAACCACCCAGAAGCCTGGAGGAGAAGGGGCAGTGCAGCAGAGAAGCGGTGTGAGTGGTTTTTCCTGAGTGGTTTTCATTCAGCAAATGACACCAACGCACAGGCACCCAGCGATCCCAGAGGAAGGCGCATGCTTGTGCATCCACACGAGTGTGCACCAGGCACTGGGCTGGGCAGGATGTGCAAAGGGAAAAAAATCTCTTTGGAGTCTAGTGTCTCCTATCACTGTCCTTCTGGGTAATTGTGGAAGAAACAAAAGAAGCAACTGAGCGTCTCTCTCCGTCACGTCTTGCTCCCAGTTAGTAGCCCCTCCACAACGCGTCCAAGCTGCTTTTTGTTTTCGGCGTTTATTTTATGTATTGATAAGGAAGGGGTGTGTACCCGGGTGGAGGCCAGAAGTCAGTCCTGGGTGTCAGTCTTCTGATCCATTTTATTTTTTTGAGACAAGATCTTCCACTGGACCTGGACTCATTCTCAAAGACTTGCTGACTAGGAATTGAAAGATGAAAGGAGACAGAGGAAATGGAGAGAGACTTCCAGTGTGGAAGAGAGAAGAGAACCTGGGGTTTCCTTCCATTGAACACTCACTCCTAAGCACAGCAGTCACACTGAGTTAGAGCGCATCTTGAGAAATGCCCGTGTTTGCCTTAATGATATCCACTAAGACCTACCTCAAAACAAAAGTCCCGTTCAAACTCACTACATCTGTGGGGGAAACACAATTTAACTCACGACACAGTCTATTAATTAGTTGGTAGCGCAAGACTGCTGTATCAGAATAACTCCTAGGACACTTAGTCATTCACTGTGAGGGAGAAAGACAACCCGGAGTGTGGCAGGACTGAGAAGCGCCGTTTTCTGAAGTGACATGATGAATCCAGAGTTCTTTAAGATAGTTAACGTGTGTCACTTTGAGACATATGAGTTGACAGCTGGGGATGAAGACAGAGAACATGAGCATGCAAGAAAAAAAATAGTGAGTGATGGAGCCTTGGGGCCAGGAGCCTGCAGGGGGCAGAGTCCTGGCTGGCAACAGCTGCTGTCGGACCTAAGGGTGTTTCTGCTGCTCTGGCCCCACCGGTGCTGACTGGCCCCACCGGAGCTGCCTGCCTGCCTGCCTGGGGTTGGCTGCCAGTGTCCACACAATCCTCCTTCCTCTCCCTAGGGGAAGCTGTTTACCACAGGAAGAGGGTTCACCTTGCATATTTTTATCACTCTTCACTGCCTGCCTCAGTTTACCCCTTTAGGTAACACTAACACCTGAAGTGAGAAGAGAATGGCCTTGTGGGTCATCTGTTATGACCCCAGGTGTCCCCATACGTGTCTTCAGGACAGCGGTCACCTTCTGAGGAACCTTTAAGAGATGGAGTCTCATTGGAGGAAGTGAGTCACTGGAGTGAAGCCCCACTTCCTGCTCAGCTTCTGCTTCCTGACTGTGGATGTGACCAACTGCCTCCTACACTTGCTGCCATGCCTTTCCCCGGGATTAATTGCATTCCCTCCAACTGTAATCAAAATAAGCCCCTCCTCCCTTATTCGGGCAGCCTTGAGAACAGTAACCAGTAAACCTGTAAAGGCATGTTATTTGTTGCAATGCTGCCACAGGTCCTGTTCTCAAGAAGCTCACGTTGGTGGGCGGAAACATGCATAGTAAATGAGAAAAAGAGAGATAAATGGTGGCATGTTGAAGATGCGTGAAGATGAGGCCAGGGTGAGCCACTGAGGGACCGGGCAAGGTGGGAGGGGATGCATGGGCTGAGGAGAGAGTCACGGGAGGAAGCCAGACGCCTGGCAATGTGAGGGGAAGGAAGAGACTCTAACCAAAGGGACTAGCATGCGCAAGGCCCATGTGGTAGGAACTGGAAGGAGGTTTTCATACTCCAGGTGCAGAATGGAGTTCTTACAGGCTGCAGGAGAGCGAGGGAGCGTGGTGGGTGCTGTAAATGAGGCTTAGTTCTGGTAGACTGCAATAATAAGCGTGGATCTTACTTTAAGCTCAATGAGAAGCTGGTGGTATGAGTTGATTTCCATTTTATATCCAAGATCACAAAACCAGTGAATGAGAAATGAGTTATCAAGTCATGCTAATCACCACAGAGCCGTGTTCTCAACTGCACAGCAAGCTGGCTGCATGTCGGATTGGAAAGCTGGAGCCCCTCTCCGTGGGTCCCCAGAGCTTCCACAACAGTGGCTCTCAGTCAGGGGCGATTCTGTCCCCCAGGGAGCACTTGGCAAGGCCTGGAGATATTGTTGGCTGGAACCATTTTCAAGCAGGGTGTCCTACTGGAAATCAATAGAGAGAGGTCAGGGGCTTTGTTGAACCCACGGGACAGATCCCACCCACAGCAATGAGTCGTCTGCTCTGAGCACCCAGATTAGAGCTCTGAATACAGAGAACCATGTTGTCATTCGTTTATAGGGAGCATCACAGGTCAGCTCTAATGAAACGCCGGACTCCATCTGACATCCTCAGTGCAGTCTTCAGCTCGGGAGGACTTCTTCAGACAGGTGCTGCCTTCAGCCTCCACTTGACCACGAAGCCAGGCAGACTTTGGTCTAAGGGAGACACGGCAAGTCGGCTGTCGGTGTGGAGAAGGGAGACCACCGGTTTGCCTGAGCTCTCTCCCTCTTAGAGACCATGGCTGTGTCTCCTGGCATCCAAGCAGCCAGGCGGCAGATGAAATAAATCCAGCCATTCCTGGAAGCAGGCTAGATGATGGAGACTGCCTGGCTCCAGCCAAGACTAGATGTTGAAGCTGAAATGTCAGTGGTCTACCAGCTGCCCCTTAAATACCACTTTATGGCATTTGCCCATGTGCACACATTCCCTATGATAACCGAACACTCAGAGGGAGCTTTTAAATGACTGCAGGTCCACCCAGTTCACACTCCCCCATGATAGCCACGAGCTCAGACCACACATCACAGTGGCTATTGAGTGGCAACTCCCCTCTCACCAAATATTGACCAGTTTGGGGGTTTGACGTATGCACATGTACCTTCTCTTTCAAACCCTGTAGCTGACTATCCATCACTTACACTTTACAAATGGCCCATCACGCTCACTAAAATGAATTGGGTGCTTACCGTGTGCCACACGCTGTCAGTGCATCCATACATCATCTCCTTGAGCCATCCTGTCTTCATCCGGTTCCTTCAAAAGCAAACCTCAGAGCGAAAGTAGCCGGCTACATTGGGAGGTGGCTAGAGCCAGGTAGCAGAGGAAGAAAAACCAATTAGATTGTATTGGTGATGGCGCCAGCGCTTGGGAAACTGGGGGCTCTAGTCCCGGGGAGCAGCTGGAAGACTCTGCAGAACACAGCCCAGGTTGGTCTCCGCACAGAGGGGAGGAAGCTCTGGCCCTCTTGAGCTGCCCCAGGGATATGTACTATGTTCAGATCTCCTTCACTATGAACCTGACTAGATTTTAGGAGACACACCTTTGAGTAAGTCTGTGAAGGCTGAAAGGGAACAGAATTGCCTCAGGCCCCCAAGACCAAGTTCTCAGCACAAAGGATGTTTATTTGCCCCAGAGGGACAAAGACCCGAATAAGAGACAAAGACAGGAGAGAGAGGGGAAGGGGGAAGGGAAAGGGAACAGAGGAAAGGGGCAGGGGTATTTGTCTCAAGAGGCACAAGGGACTGCCTCTGGATAGAGAGGAGACAGACATGGCCCATAGGCAAATGACAGTTTATTAAGGTAAAATGAGAACCCCTGTGTTAAGATGAGCTGTTTAATTGTAATTGGGCATGTTAATTAGGGTAGCAAAAGTGGGTTTTTGATTGCTAGACTTCAATACTTTGGTAGCTGGACCTTGGAGGTCAGCCTCAGGAGGAGGAAGTGGCCGCATAAGGGAATGGACATTGGGGGCTAGCTTCAGGAATGTAAGCTAACAGTCTGGAGAGGCAGAGGAAACTGGGGAGAAGGGCAAGGCCTGCCAGAGCCATGTTTGCCATGCTAGGGTTGACTAAAGTCCCTTCAAGGACACTAATCAGGGAAGTCCTGCCCAGAACACGGTGGTACCCTCTCTTGGGCTGGGGTCCCAGACTCAGGAAAAGAGGAGAAGGGCAGGCAAATGCGTACATTCCCTTCCCTCTGCTTCCCTACCCGCCACCCCGTGAACAAGAGCTCCACGTGTGTTGCCACAGACATGAACCGCTCACACGGCCCCGCCTTCCTCCAGGACAGACTGACGCTCTGAACTGTGGACCAAAGCAGTCTTCCTCCTCCACATCGCTTCTTTCTAGGGTTTGGTCGCGGCAGCGAGTAACTAACGTGAACTCTCGGGCATGCTCACCCTTCCTGGTGCTCAGCAGCACCCTTGCCCAAGAGGAGACGCCAGGCGAGGCCCGGGAAGGAAGCACAGGCGTAGAAATGGTGCACAGAGGAGCTTCCAGCTGGCTGAAGTGTGACCTCGGGATGCATCACCATCCAGGAGGCCTCCCCTGACCTGGGCATCAGGGACCGAGGTACCATGCTCATGGCTTGACTAAGGTGGAGCCAGGTTTGTGTTGGGTGGGAAGCCCCGTTCATTTTCAACTGTCTTCCTGCAGCTGGCAGAGCAGAGCCATGGGCTAAGGGGTCTCACACAACGGGGCACACCACTGCACACCTCACAACAGGGTACACCACCGCACATCTCACAACAGGGGCACACCACTGCACAGTTCACAACAGGGTCACACCACTGCACACCTCACAACAGGGGTACACCATCACACAGTTCACAACAGGGGCACACCACCGCACAGTTCACAACAGGGTCACACCACTGCACATCTCACAACAGGGGCACACCATCACACAGTTCACAACAGGGTCACACCACTGCACATCTCACAACAGGGGCACACCATCACACAGTTCACAACAGGGACACACCATCACACAGCTCTGAAGTCAGAGAGCTGGAGGCTCCCAGTGTAGTATAGGTCTGTTTCCCCCTGGGCTAGAAGGAAAAAGAGGGATGCTCTAAGCACCTCTCCTGGTTTGGGGGTTTCTGGTATCTCTAGCATTCCTTGACTTGTGGAGGCCTCACTCTAATCTGGCTTCACGGAGGCTCCTTTCCTTGCATGTATGTCTCTTTGTCCAAATGTCCCCTTCTATAATATTTTCATTTTATTTTATTTTATTGTTTGTTTGTTTTTGAGACAGAGTCTCTCCGTATAACAGCCCTGGCTGTCCTGGAACTCACTCTGTAGACCAGGCTGGCCTCAAACTCAGAGATCCACCTGCCTCTGCCTCCTGAGTGTGGGATTAAAGGTATATGCTACCACTGCCCAGCTAATATTCTTATTTTTAATTTTATGTGTATGCCTGTGGGGCATGGTGTACGTGTATGCACACGCATGTGCCTACAGAGGCCACAGGAAGGTGTCATATCCTCTGGAGCCGGAGTTACAGCTGCGAGCCACCTGCTGTGGGTACTGGGAACCAAACTCAGGTCCTCTGCAAGAGCAATATGCACCCTTAACTGCTGAGCCATCTCCAGCCCTGAAATGTCCTTGTATAAGATCACTATATGAGCTGTATTAGGCCCCGTATTCATGACTTTATCTTAACTAACTACATCCACAGTTCCAGGGCCTGGGGAGTCCCCGTGAGGACTTGGATCCCTAACGCCCATGATGAGGGCAGCTGTCCCGTGGTGTTTGCTTCTGCTGTCTAAATCACTTGAGTTTGTGTGCTGCATCTGAAAAAGAGCCCTCCAGCCTGCATTCCCAGTTGCTTTGGGGACTCTAACCCTCAAGCAACAGTGTGGCTGGATGACAGATCCAGAGCCAGAGGCTGTGAGGACAGCTGAAGGCCTGGAAAAGCCACCAACAAGGGAACTTGTGGCCTGGGTCCATCTCACTGCCACCTGAATCACCGAGCTGCCATCACCAAATACCATGAAGAAAGTATGACAGGAATAAAGAGCTGCCGGGAGTCTTCGGAAAATCACAAACAAACGCAATGAGCAGTCGGGGTTTATAAAGAACAAATTATGCCAGACACACTTGATTGTGCCTTTGAGGGAACTAAGAAATTAAGGAACGCGAAGGATGAGGGAGATGCTATACATCTTGATTTTAATACAGCAATTGATATATTGTCTCGTGGAAATGTCCCTGCAAAATTAATTCAAATTGGCTTGGTGAGGAGAACTGTCCCTGGGGTTGAAAACTAGTAGAAAGATAAACAAATAATGATTAAAGGAGAATGCCCACGCCCAGGATCCTTAGGAGAGAATGGGAAGAAGACGTGGAGAGGGCAGGAGGAGGGGACAGGAGAGAGGGCAGGTGGAGGGGACAGGAGGGAGGGCAGGGGGAGGGACATAGAGAGGGCAGGTGGAGGGACATAGAGAGGGTGGGGGAGAGGACATAGAGAGGGCAGGTGGAGGGACATAGAGAGGACAGGAGGAGGGGACAGGAGAGAGGGCAGGAGGAGGGGACAGGAGAGAGGGCAGGTGGAGGGACATAGAGAGGACAGGAGGAGAGACATAGAGAGGGCAGGAGGAGGGACATAGAGAGGGCAGGAGGAGGGACATAGAGAGGACAGGAGGAGGGACATAGAGAGGACAGGAGGAGGGGACATAGAGAGGACAGGAGGAGGGACATAGAGAGGGCAGGAGGAGGGACATAGAGAGGGCAGGAGGAGAGACATAGAGAGGACAGGAGGAGAGACATAGAGAGGACAGGAGGAGAGACATAGAGAGGACAGGAGGAGAGACATAGAGAGGACAGGAGGAGAGACATAGAGAGGACAGGAGAGAGGCAGGCCTGGGCGCTGCTGGCCGACAGAAATGTGCAGAAGTGTGGAAACAGGCCGGGGAAGGAGCTGCCCAGAACTCTGCCACACAGTGGGTGTCATCACGGGGTCTGTGCCAGGTGAGCCACCCCATGGCCCTCCTGGAGGCTGTGCCTTGAAGTGTCTTGTGACCCTGGAAGATCAAAGCTGCTAAAAACAAAAACAAAACCACCAGCAGGTGACCTCAGAAGCAAGGGTCCTGTCACCCTCCCTGCTTGAGCTTCTCAAATGTGTGACATTGAAGAAGTGGCCCTCTCCAGAGTCACAGGGCCAGGGCAGGCTCAGAAGATGGGTGTTGGCAGGAGCCTTCCTGAAGGGATCCTCTCTCTGAAAATGAGAAGACTCTGCCTCCCAGAGGGAGGAGACAGCCTTGGGAACTTACTAGAAATCAGATCCATGGGTTTGGCACTCAGGGCTCACACAGAACTGGGAGAGGGTCCAGCAACCCCACCAGTAACAGGCTGGCCAGAGGTCACTCCATTCTGGGGACTCCCCGGGAGCCGCGGGCCCGTGGGGTCAGCCCCACCCTCTCTCACCTCTCCTTTTCTTGGTTGTCTTCCTTTGAAGATGTTTCCCCTGTGACCTGCCCTGCGGCAGACTCTGCTCCAGGCTCTGGCATCAGAGGTAAAGCGGAAGGACTTCTGCCTTTGAGAAGGGCATTGGTGGCAGAGGAGAGTCAAAGGGAGCACAGGGCTAGAGGTGGCACCAGAGGACCCCGTACACATTCCACCAGCAAAGCCCTGACATCTGGGCACACAGGACAAAGTCTGGGTTTTCTCAGTAAACATACTGCAAGGGGCAAAATAGGAGAAGATCTTTAGAATACAGGAGTCTGGCGGAGCTTACAATAGCAGGAGACCTCATTTAGATTTTGGTTTGAACAAGCTAGCCGTTAAAAATACGTGTATGAGACTCAAGAGCTGGCTCGGTGGTTAAGAGGGCTTGCTGCTCCTACAGAGGACCCGAGTTCAGTTCCCAGAACCCCCACAGGCAGCTCACAGCTGCTTGGAACTCTAGCTCCAGAGGTTCCCATGCCCTCTTCTGGCCTCCAAGGGTATTCACTCATATGTACACACACACATAACTAAAAATAAATAAATCTTTTAAAAGAGCACTTATAAAGAAATAGGGGGGAACCACTGGATATTTGTGGATAGTGATTATTTTAAGGAATTATATAGCATGACTGGCTTTAAATGATGTGTGTGCGTGTGTGTGTGGGGGGGGTGTGGTGCTGGGAGTGTGTGGGGGTGCTGTATGTGTGTATGTATGTTTATGTGTGTGTGTGTGCACATGTGTGTGTGTGGTATGTGTGTATGTGTGGTGTTGGGGGGTGTGTGGGGGTGCTGTATGTGTGTATATATGTTTATGTGTGTGTGTGTGTGCACGTGTGTGTGTGGTGTGTGTGTATGTGTGGTGTGTGTATGTGGTGTGGGGGGGGGGGGTGGAGCCAGGAAGGAATGTACAGATCCAACAGCATTGTCTGCAATATAAACATTTTTGAAGTTAATGTTGGATAATTTAGTATACCATAGAGGGTTCATTTTAGCATTTTACTTTGTTTGTGTTTGAAATGTTCATAGCAGAAGATTAGGAAGGGAGGGAGGGAGGGAGGGAGAGAGGTGTGGATCAAATACTAGGCTGAGGATCAGAGAGGGGGA